TTTTCTAAAGTGTTGTGCTGAAAGCTGGCTTGAACATAAATCTGCAAGCATTGCTACATCCATTTGTTGTGCTTTTGAGGATGTAGGCAGTTTAACCTCCAATCTACTTCACAAGCGAGTCATTGTTGGTCTGGGGATTCGAATCTGCAACCTCTGGAATACGTCACTGGTGCTCTATCGACTGAGCTATCCAGCCATATGCTAGCTGCTTCCAATTTGTCAACATGTTTTTTTTTCTGACGGCTTCACAAAAATTTGTCAAAAAGTTGTATGTACTGTATAGTGAAGCCAAAATGGAAGAGAGCCCCAAAAACAGGTGGACTTATAATGCCAAACTGTCAGCAGCAAAAGACAGAGTAGAATATGACTTATCAACCCAGGCACCGACAACCAATATTTGCATGCAATATTTTATTTCCCCATTCTTGGGTTAATAAGAAACCCGATGTTGAGTAAACATCCCCCTCGACTGAATGCGTCAGACTTGAATGGCAAGACAGTAACGTCTGCAACCGGAGAACCTTTTTTTTGTTGTAAAATATTAGCTCAACATTCCATTCTGATACACGGCTGACTGTTTATATACACACGCGTGCGACTTTCACATGAAATATGTGGTTGCGGGGGAAGCGCGGACTGTTGTTTTTAACAGTTACGCCGTTGAGTTGTTGGCCGTTTTCAGACAAATGTGCGTGGCTAACCTGCCAGGTACATGAAAGTAATGGATCGTGTCGTTAACGGATCATTAATTCTAGTATCAAATGTATAGTGTGTTTTGTAAACGAGGAGTATACATTTGGAATTTGAGATTTTTGAGAGTTGTACAAATTGACAAAATCTCCGTTATTGTGGTTAAATCTTGAAACATTAGTAGGTTGTTGACATGTTTTCTGTCAACGTTGACTTTGCAGTTGACTTCAAAAATGTAAAGGAAATACAAAATACACAATTTTTTTTTATTTGAAATCAGTAGGGAGCATTGATATTTGCATAAACTATAACTCAAGTGGCACATACATTCATCACCTTGACAGCTCAGTTAATAAATGATGACATTTCCTTTATTTCCACGGTGCGCATTAATGCATTTCATGTTCAAAGCTGTGAAACCACTCGAGAATCATCTTGAGCCTCACATTAGTTTAATTCATGTTTGCTTGCTACATTGTTACATGCCCGTGCATTTTTGAGTAGGTCAGATTTTCATCGGTTGAAGATTTGTTTTTTTTACCAGAAATGTTGCAGCCATCTGAAGTGGCTGACAGTTCATCTTTGATTAATGATGTCTAAACCATTAAAAACCTAGCAGTTTGAAGTACCTTTCGCATGGTACATCAAATGCTATAATGTGGGTTAAACTTGATGAACATTTTAAATATCAATGCATTATGAATCATAAAACTATTACTTCTGGTGTGTGGCAGACTATAGCACAAACCTTGCCAGTTTTTTTGTTAAATGACATCTGGTCCTTGAAAAGGAAAAAATAAAATCTACAATTTTTGGTAATTGTAGGCCTACAGTGTACATAAATATCAGTGATATTTGGAAAAAATAAATGAATTTATAAACAAGTATGTACGTTCATATGTACAAGTATTTTCATTGCCAAGATCTGTCACATTTCCCAAATCTTTCAGATTTTGGCAGATTAACATCTAAAAATATTCATACCTTTCATGTACATGCCTTGGACTGTATTCCGAAATGAACATTTTGAAAAATGAGGTAATTATGGTCGTGGTATCAATTTTTTACTTGGCTGCGGTTGACAGGATTTTGCAATTACCCGTCCTGCCAAGTCAATATTTGCATTCATATTGAAGTAGTTTCTTTCCTCCCTTGATTACCATGGCTCCCTTTCAGCTTATGATGAAGCATTGTCGATTTTCCACACAATGAGCGAGATTAGGCAGAAATATCCAGAGGAGAAAAATGCTTATGTTTGCTGAGAAAATACCTGATGGGGACAATAGGTATACTGGAAATTTTAAGGCCTTTTTGTCAATAAAATTTAATGGGAGAGAGCCTGTCCTTTCAGACATTTTCATTCATCTATCTATTCTATGGCAGTACATTTAATTGCAAACTCTCTCGATTGCCAACTCTCAGAGTACAATGTATTACTGCAGTTGCTCCACTTTTCCAGTGCTTCATATTTTTACTAGCCCACCAGTCTAGTATGCTTGACTCGTTTGAAGAGGGTTTTGAGGCCAATGATTTAGCTTGAACCCTGTCAAATGAATTTAGAAGTGAGTTTTCATTCAGCCAGCCGTAAGACTGGACCTCATTGTACAGGTTTGGTTGGTGCTCTCACAAGGAAAATGTCACGGAAGAAGAGAGAAGACAATATTTTGTGTTGAGCTCTTTAGCCTCTTTCTCCTACTTGAACAAACCATTGATTTATGAACAGAAACTCGCCTCTGCTCCACCGGAAATACCAGAAATGCTCAACAAGTCCTCCCTTCCATAATTTTTCTTTCCTTAACCGTTTAGGTTAAAAAAAAAAAAGGAATAAATGAAATACAGAGTTCTGCATCTAACCCATCTGGCTTGCAGCTGGCCCAAACGATCCTCCACGGCCCCTCAAGCCAAGGCATTGATTTTGCACTTTTCCAGCTCCTCTTCTGACATTTATTCAGTCTCATCCGGGGCTGTTTGCTGTCATCTTATCCCACCACTCCAGCTTTCTTCTAGGACTTTCTACAAGTTGACTGTACTAACACTCACTGGGTTTGCTCACGCTCCATATATATCTTGAGACTTTGCATGGATGGGGAGAGGTCTTCTTGAAAAACTCTGAGTGGAGGAATGAGGAGAATCTGAGACTGTTTGTAGAAGATGTTGGAGTGCCTTATCTAGATTTAGAGTAGATAGGCCATGGGTGAACTTCAAAATTCATTTTGGGAAATTCAGAACTCTTTGCACAAGTATGGTACCCTCCCAGCCTGGGGGAAAAGTGGAACATCACTGTCAGTGGATAAAAGTGCCCTGTAGTGTATAAGACATCATAAACCTGTTCTCACAGACCGCCTCAAACCACGCCCTAGTACTGTTTTATGAAATCATTAGGTCATGAATATATTGTATGTATTAAAATACAATGTAATACATTTTATTACAATGTATTACATTGCATACACTGTATGAAATAGGTGGAATAATAGTGCACAGCACGGCGAGAGACTGTGTTCCATGTGGGTTTTTCCCAATTCTGCTGAGGTAGAAAGGGAATGGGAACCAGCCTATCTCTCAATTGAAATCAACTCAAACCTGTCTTCTCTAGTACACATTCATTTCTTAAATTGCACAGTGCATGTGGGCTGGTTCCCGTCCCATTCTTTATAAGAATTGGGAACCAGCCTATTTTTTCTTCATTTGAAATCAACTCAAGCCTGTCTTCAGTGGTACCTATTTATTTTCCAAATGCATACAGTGCATGTGGACCAGCATGTTGAGTGATTGAAAAATCACAGAGTTTCACACCAATATTCTTTTGAAAACCGTGACACAATTTATTTCACCTTTCCCGTAATCCTTCTGTTCCAACATCCATCATCTATCCCCCCTCCTGCATCCTCCAAGCCAGTCAGCTTCAGTGATCTCATCTTGCTATCTGTTGTGCCGTTGTGCTCCATTTCCACCCGACCTCATCAAGTAATCCCATCCATAACTGTGTCGGCCCTTCCATCCATGATACCCATCTTCAAGACTGCCTCTCGTTGGCATCAATAGTCCAACCATCCATCTATGTCAGCGTTCATGACTCACAACTCTACCCATCTATGCCAAAGATAGTACATTAATGGACCAAAAACTCATTACTGGCGCTTACCCTTAAACACACAGTCTCTTGCTGAGAAAAGTGCATTATACTTAAAGTTAAAATAATGACTGGACATCGAGTATTTTCAAATTGATTACTGTATTTATTAATAAATCCCTCCTTTTGTTTGATCAGTCACAGACAGTCAAAAAATTAATCCTGTTCCCCTGCCATGGCTTTTATACAGGCTAGTCCCCAACAGTCAGATCATATTTTTTGTAGGCACTGTGACAGTCAAATTCCATCAACAGACAAAAGCAGGTGACTGGTAGTCACAGCCGGCTTATCAGTCACCTACAGTCAAAACAGTGCTAGTTTCATAACAGTCACAACCAGTCAATCCTGCTTTATGTGAGCAAGGAGCACTCAAACTGTTAAAAACAGTCACTCAATTGATTTTGACTGCTTGGGCTGGCTTCGTTGAATTTGCCAGCCAGAGAGGGAGGGTTTTAATCCAAACCAAAAAGGATGCACTGAGTCAAGTTTTGCACTGTTAGTGTTATTTCATTTTAAATTGAGTTTGACGCACCGTGTATTTCAAAGTTGTTCTTAAATTTAATTCTGAAAATTGATTCGCCCCCTCCCCCCCCACCAATTTCTTGAGATTTTTTCTGTTGAATTTCACTTTCTATATTGTCATTTGGAAAGAAGACAACATCTGTTGGTGTTTGACAAATTCTCTTCTAAATCACTGAAGCTAACCCCAGATAAATTCTATGCCCAATGTGTACATGTGATAGTGGATTTGATGATGCTTTGTCAATTATTGTAATTTGTCTCTAAACTGTTTGTCAAAACTGATTGGCTTTCATTTCCATTAGTGCTTTTACTCATCGCCACACGAGGGCTCACTTCATCTTCAAGCTAGAAGCACTGGTAGATACAGAGCTGGGAGTGTAGAGACAGACATGAACAGAACTTTCTAAATGCCAAATTGTTTCTTCAAGCATTTGGGCTCTACATTTCCATTTAGTCTCTACATTTCCATTTAGTATGGAAATGGAAATGTATTGAATAAATTGTCATTGTGTAAATGTACTATGAATTCATAGTATTCACTTTGAGTTTGTTATCTTTTCGATGAGTTAAAGTGTGAATGAATTTTGCCAAGTGGACACAAAATTGAAGACTGTTTTGTTAAAAATCTTTTCAACCCTTTTGTATGTGTGCACAGATCTATACAGACTGGGCCAATCACTTCTTGGAGAAGGCGGGGCGCAGAAATCTCATTGCTGACCTCCAAGTAGACATCACCAATGGGGTGCTCCTAGCTCAAGTAATTGAGGCTGTCAGTAAGTATCCAATGCCAAATATGGTCAAAGTGGGAGGTGGTTATGCAAAAACAGTTAAAGTAGGGTCATGCCTTCCTTGAAAAGGCGGGACATAAGAATCTGATTGCTGACATCCAAGTAGACACCACCAATAGCCTAGGTGATTGAGGCAGTCAGTAAGTGTCCAATGCCAAATATGGTCAACATAGGAGGTGTGTAAGTGGGTATCTGGTTCCTAGAAGTCTGGGCGTAACAATCTCATTGCTGACCTCCAAGTAGACATCACTAATGGGACGCTCTTAGCTCAAGTGATTGAGGCTGTCAGTAAGTATCCAATGCCAAATATGGTCAGAGTGGGAGGTGCTTATCTTTGAGAGTAAATGTGCCAAATGTTATTGTTAAAAGGTCAAGTCACAAGTTGCTTGCAGCTGAGGTCAGAAGTTACAGGAGATGAACAATGACAAATGAATGCCTTTGACACACTTCATTAGAATAGCCAGTGACTTGACTTGGGACTGGTGGACTTATGATGGACTTGTGAAACCTTGTGATGACTTATGATGACTTATGATGACCTGTGATGACTTGTGATTGACTTGCCAGCCTAACTCTCTTTATTTTTCTCCTCAATTTCAGTCGATGAGAGGGTCGTGGATATCAACCCAGGCCCTCGCACTGCCAATCAGATGGTAAGTCATCATTCCTACCAAATCCTTTTGCTCTTTGCGATTTGCTGAAGGTGTAAACAATTCCATTTCTTGTTCTCCATGTGGCCAACATTTTTCAGTGTTTGGCCACTAAGCCGGCAGCTTCAATTCAGTTCAATTCAATTTATTATTAAAAATCATGATTAAAAACATGAAAATCAACACCCCATGTGTTAAAAACAGTTTAAAAGACAAGAACAAATCCACAACAATTTATCAAAAACAACTTACAATCCCACACAAACACATGATATGAATACAAACGAATACACCATTACACAGTCTTATTTAAAAAAGATAAAATCAGCTTTTAAATGTGGAATTAAAAAGTGGTATGAGTTGGGCAAGAATGATCTTCTCAAGCGCTGTGTATTTGTGCGTGGTGGCCTGACTCTCCTAGATTCCAGTCTAGTCCGAGAGAAACTTGTGAGAGATGAAGCCACAAGAGGGGGCTATCACAATTTTTTACTCTGCTCCAGGCTTTGTGCCATATGCAAGGGGGAAATTGTGATGACTGTCACTTGTCAGTGTGAAGTCTCTCTCGTCAGTGATGAGTCAGCGACTAAGCACGTTTGAACCACAGAGGGCTCACTTCAACTGACTGCACAGTGAAGTTGCTTCAGCTGGACTGCCCCTGGCCATATCTGCTGAACAAGAACATTCAACCATTATTTGCATTCATTTAGATTTTCATGCATTAAATTGGACTGTATAACTTTAGCATACATTCATTAAATGTAGAAAATATTTTTTTTCAACTAATTTTAACCCATACAATTAAAACAATTACCACACAAAATTTATACAACAAAAATATACATACAGTTTACAATGTAACTATCATATAAATTAAATTTTCCCAGTTAAAATGGGAAATTGTTAAAACTAGCAGGCAACCAGTTACAAGTAATACACTTTGCATGCCATTTTGGCTGGTAACCTGTTTTTGCTTAGCAATTGCTATCAGTGCTTACCAAATTATGTGCTCTGCATCTCCACAATAACATTAGCTAACACTCTACCAAGCGCTAATGATAAGCACCTGCCATTCATTTCATGACATCAGATCCAGTGTCTGGTTATTATATTACATCCCAGGCCTGTCATCACTTTGTTATTGACCAGAGAGCTAACCCAATTGGTTGGTACAATGACAACCAGCACTGAGCTGTGACTGGACTTATCTGCAGCTCCTAGGTCCCAATAATTCCTTGGAGTTTAAGAGGGTTTTTGCGTCAACTCTTTGGTGAATTTGATCAGTAATTTAGGTGATATGATAGTAGTGGGTGATCAGAAACTTAACAACCCAATTTCAAAATGATTAATCTTTTAAAAATTTTTGAGACATTGTTTAGAAATACCATTTTGGTTTAGAGCTAAGCATGCATCTCCACAAGTTGTTTTAACTCACAGTTTATAGCGGCGTATAAAACTTGGTTCTACAAAACTTTAGAATTCGTTCTGACATTGTTATAGCAAAACAGTTACACCAAATTAAAAGCAACCAGTGTTTTACGCCATTTTTAAAATGGTATCTGAATATTCCATTTCCTTTTGAATTAAATTTGACTAATTCTTTGCACTGGCGTGTTCAAATACTCACATTTTTCACTTTAATTAAATTATTTCCAAGTGTGGCCTGACAAGGCATACGTATCTGAACAAGTGTAGAACACAGCTCGTATTTGAGCTCATTGAATATTGCTATTCAAAAATGTCTTTAAAAAATAACAAAGAGGGGAAAAAAAACCTAATTCATTAATCAATGGTATCATTCTGTCTCATTCATCTTCTGCCTGTAGTACCCATCGGCAAGTACACGTACCAACAAAAGATGTCGCCTTCCTCCTAAAAAAAATAGATTGAGTTGTAACACAATATGTTGTAGCACTAACCCCTAGAGGTTCTTACATGTATGTACATGGATACTGTCATTTTCAGCTGCTTGTTTGCTGGAGGTACTCACAGGATTGAATTTTCCTAAAGAAAATAGCGGCAAAATTTGTTTGCACATTTTTGACAAGTGACTAACCACTTCAGAATGTAACCGTGCACAATTCAAGATTGGTAAATTATGCGAATTATGAAGATTTGTATTATCAGTAAAGGACACAGTAAGAATGATATTAAAAAGGTGATATTGCTGCTTTAATTGTAAACATTTGAAAAATAGTTTTAAAAAATCTCCCATTTACTTCTTCAGAAAACCAGCTTGTCTGATAACGTTTCCTTTAAATATGCCCCTTTTAAATTCAAAAATGACAAAACAGTCATGGTTCCATTTTTAATTAAAAAAAAATTCGGATATTGTTGCAAAGAAAACAATGAATTATATGTCCTTGCACCATATTATGCACACGACTTAGACAATTCTTACCAGATTTTTAAGTATAATTAGCAAATATGTTTTATAGTGATTTGTTTTTGATAACAGCATTGGTTACATCTCACAGCACCAGCTGGGTGATGAGTGTCTCCTGTAATGAAATTTTGGGCCAAATTATGCCCTCCCAGCAGGTGAAGATAGTAAAATATCAAACCGGCCTGGGCGCTTTTTGCCTTATAGGGACCTGGCCAGCATTCCGCTCAATTTGAGCTCTCTCACTGCAACGTCCACAACGGAGGTGTGCAAGACGATTGTTCACTCCTTGTAGGAGAGGAGCGATCTTGCCTACAGATCAATGCACCATTGTGGCCATTTCTTTTACTTGACTTGTAAAATTGAATTAGACACACTGGTTTGGGTAAAAAAAAAATGACTTGCCGTCAAGATCTTGAATTTTAGATCTTGAATTTTAGATGAGGTGTTTCTAGTCATAGATGGATGTGCAATGGAATCACAAGCCTGGGATCAGATGGTCCTGGTGTACTTTTGAGATGAATTAGTAATGAAATGGAAAAAAATAGGAATTGGATGAATTCAATTTGAATTCAAAATACATTTTTGTTCACATGTAAGCAAAAAGAATTCATAGGAGCATGTTCAGTAAAAAAAATTGAGAAATGTGAAAAGGATTTTGGATTGCTGAATTTCTGAATGCATAATTGCCAGGTAAGGGACATTTCATATACAATTACTGGACATTTTTGTAATTTTTTTTTTCATGACAGTGGGATTGATTTCAAGTTTAGCTAATATACCAGAGGGGGGTATGTCAAGAACATGCAGCCTTACCATTCCCTGCATGGGGTCAAACGATCCGAAAGCTTTTAACACTAATTATGGTGGATTCTAATGGCCAAAATGTAGCGTTAATTCTTGCCCAAGGGATGAGGTTCCGGTATTTTGCACCTAAAACAAATCAGTATCATCAAAGGATGTCATTCAGTTGGGTATGAGGACCATTGCTATTCTTGATTTGTAGCCAGAAGGGCTTTTGCTCAAGTTGAGATTATTTTCGTTTGTGTCCTTTGTCTTTCAAACCAAGTAAGTTTTAGATTAAAAACAAATAATATAATGTCTTCATAAACTCATAGAAGTTTCACAGTGTGAGAGAACTCCAAATTCAAATTTTCGTCAAAGTATTTTTTTTTCATATATAAATCAAGTAAGAAATTTAACATAGCTTTCTGTACTTAACTATGCGTGATGACTAAATTTGTCAACATTTAATCAACATGGGGTCGTCACTGAAACGACTTCAGCTCTGTGACCTTCATTGGATCTCATCGGATCCATTACTTCTCTTTTTACTCATCATCATCCAACAGTTTTAGTGGACAATAATTTAACGAGTAATTTAATCATGATAAGCATGCATGCCGAACGCAAGATGCGGGTTAGTTTGAGAATTGCGCTTGTCGGTTCTCATTTGGAGATTCACCAAGGTTCACAATATGCCAGCTGTCCATTTTTTTCCCAGACCCCCGTTGTCGGAGTTCAGTTCGCAAAAGCCCGAAGGGAGATTTACTCCATGCGTGTTTCTTAATTCACGAAGCTCGCAACCTTTTGCGTTGCGATGATATATCAGTGTCTAATGCGTAGGTCATTTCATCCGTCAGTTACGGAGGTAGAGCTGCGTGAGTGAAACATCTGACATTTAATGTGTTGTTTTAATGGTGCTTTGGCCATTTGTCTGTGACAGCAGCGTGGAAGTTTCTTGGCATTTCTCAACAAATACGAGTAAACAATTGGTTTTGTAAAGGAATTTTACACTGCAACTGCATGAATACATGTACATCAAGTAATAGCTATAGATATATCCCTTTATATACCATTATCATGTTGCGGCCATCATGATTTTTGCCCCATTCAAATCAGCGTAACCAAAGGGAGGCTGGAAGAAAAAATAGTCTGGTTCCTTTTTGCGCAAAAACATTATCATTCAGTACTGTTATTGGATACAGGGAACATGACTGAAATGGTGGCAGCATGATAAAGGTCTATTACTGGCTGTCCTCTGAAGTTTTCCTTTCACATAAAATTGAAAAGTGGGAGGGGGGTTGGCATTTTTAGGTTTTGTTAAGAAATTGGAACCTATAAAATTATAAAGCTGACCACATTAGTTCAATTATTGAAATCAGCGGATAGTCTTGTCAGTATTCTTCCGTTTCTTACATTTTCTTTCAAATCTATATTTGCCGGAGTCCAACCGATGTGACTGACCCGTAAGGTCAGATTGTTGTCTCTTAAGGTCTCGAGATGTTTACGATTTGTAGATCCACCCTTTCCTGAAAAATCTGGGCCATGGCCTGTCTGCAAATTGTTTATTTGAAACAACAACAATGTCCAACCTGGAATCTGTGTCACTGTCTATTCAGGATGACCCTATTTGATTAATTGATGATCCTAGAATCTTCCCTCCCCCCCCCTCCCAAGTCTCTGTCAGGAAGCAGGAAATGCGCACAGTGCAGAGAGAAGATTTCTCTCATTGTCTGGTCGCTTCAGATCGGAATGGAATGCCCATTAGGGAACTAGCACAGGTAAAAAAAAATAAAAGATGCTCTGCTCTCAGGCAATCTGAAACAAATCGGTGCTGACT